GTTCCATCTTAGTCTCTTGAGAGTCATCGGTGGTACGCACCCACCACCAAGATTCAAACCCAAGACCTTCTGGTTACAAGGCAAGCTGGCTCGAATACCATTCGGCCACTGGGACCCAATTCCTCAACGGCTAACGCATGAATTCTAACTTCCACTAATTTGTAATTTACCGCGACCAATTGGTAGAAGTTAGAATTCATTCACAGGCCATCGAATCGGGTCCCACAAGGGTGAGTACTGCTGAGGACTCTCAAAACTAGGATGAAACAGCTGTCCAGTACTCCAGTGCTTATTTTCAATGGTTTTCTATTTGTGATATCAATCCGTGGTCAAACTCGTAAAAGCGAATCTGATCCTTACAAACCAACTCCAGAAAATTATTGGAAAATCACTGTGTACAACTTGGGTACTGTGGTATTATATATGTAGTTATAACTGATATGATTATGAACGATAAATAAATTGTGTTCGAAACTGTGTCATCCATTAAATAGTAATACTGTTTCATCACTGTGTGATATACATCTAATAAACAAATCAATATGGAATTATCTGCAGTTACTAAACTTGTCAGCTAGCCTGAGGTGCTTACGGGAAATATAGAACATATACTTATTTTCAGTTAATTGTCATCAGGATATACAATTAATAATAATAATAAAGATGAAGTACGTAGACTAGCCACTTCGAATTGTATCTACCAATTCAACTGCGCTTGTGGGTCGAGTTAAATCAGCCGTTGCTCTAGGAACTTGACTTTTCATGCTCGAAAACATCTCCCACTATGGCTAAGTAAAGGTGTAGTGAAAACCATTAACAGTTCGATATTGGACCATCTGGTGCAAACCGGCCACAAAGCCAACGTGGAAGAATCCTTCTCTATAATCTACCGGGTGCCTAATAAATTGCCAAAATCATCGAAGCACCGCATGCTCCAAACAGCAGAGGCTATTGCGATTCACGTGAAACAACCAGTGCTCTGTGTTCAAAAGAAGCAAGTCCAGCCAGCCCCTACTACTGCCCTGGACTTCAGTGGAGACTATAAATTCATGAATTTGTATCATTATCTTTCCTAATTTTTCTGACATTCAGCTTATTTTTATGTTGATGCTATTGAGCTTTAATCCACTGATATTATTGTTGATTCGATGTTATTTAAATAACATTAATGTTGTTCATAAAACTAATTCATTCACTATAATGTATATATAACTGTTGAGCCTGATGATGAAGTTATCGAAAACAGTACTCTTTGTTCATGATCCATTCTTTTGAAAATAATACTAATAATCACTTTATTCCAAACAATAATAATTATGATTATACTGAATGGAATTTCCAGCTTTTTTATACATATTGCAACAATTTTGCTCCTTTTACAAATATATGCATACATAAAATTTAAAATAGTAATAGTAATAAGAAGACGTAATTTGTCTGAACCGTGTAATGTATTTGCGCAACACATTACGCGATTCAGACAAACTACGTCTTCTTATTGCTTTATCTAAATTCATAAAGGGAACTAAATGTTTTAAAAGTAATAGTAATATTAATGATGAAATCACTATAGACAGAATGTATATAGTATCATAGATAATACATGTAATAGCAATAAGTTTTCTTTATACTTTTCAGTTCAGATTACTGATTTAAAAAGCTTATTCACAAGTTCTTTTCTGACATCTGACTCTCTCTTCACACAACCGACACTCGTGCTAAATGTGGTGATGTGGTAGGATTTTTATATTTAGTAGCTGTACGAGCATAGCTGTGCGTCGGTGGCATAGTGGTCAGGACGCTCGCCGACCATGCACATGGTCCGGGGTTCGATCCTCGGCCGACGCACTCCTTTACCTCGCTAACCCAGAAATAACGCTGGTGAAGAGGAAAGGTTGGGCATGAGGCTAGCAACCTCATCCTGTAAAATAAGCACTGCTACAGAAACTTCAAGCCACTGGCTTGAAGCCCTATGTTCCACTGGGGAACGTGAAGGAAATAAAAAAAAAGAGCATAGCTGCTTCTTATGAAGTTTCTTCTGGTTTCACCTCTCGAAGAGATACAAAGAGAAAGTTGAGAATAAAGAGGATGTTCAGTGTCAGACAAGATAACTTTAGCCAAATGTTTGCAAGAATTGAATGAAGTGCCTATTGACAACAATGTCAGTTAGCTGAGTCAAAGACACACACACACACACCGCTAACCCTACTTACAACCTAAGTGGTCTACGTAATATGACATAGTCTCTTTTTGAGAAGTCCAGGGAAGAATAATGGTGAACATTAAAGAAGAATGGGTAGAATATATGAATTAACAAATTGTAAGAGAAGAGGTTGGTTGAGTTATGCCAGCAGAAAATCTCAACTTCTTTATGTAATAAGTTAAACGAAAAGTTTTCTTAGAAATCAATAGGATATGAGACAATGACCAACAGAGATTCAAAGAGAAACTGATACCGAAATGAGAGATATTCAATTTACTCCCCATCACAGTGCCATGATTGAATCAGTCCAAGCATGCAAGTCTTGTTCACATCTGAAACTAAAATCAACAGACAGTATGACAGTTAGATCGATTTAGTTTAAGACCATTTGTTCACTTCAAGCAAGAATCTATTCACATATAAGAACAATCCAAAGCAGAAACTACTGGGACAGAAATGGTTAGATCATCGGCATATTTAATGAGGTTAGGTTTGAAAGAACACGGAAGGTCATGCAAAATGAATAGAAAAAGTGAAGCAGCTCCTTGAGGCCCACCAGTTTCCGTTAGCAAAGAAGTAGAGCACTTTCTATTCCAAAGAGTTATATGCTTTCTACCCAAAAAATAAGAAGACAACCATCTTGTGACCCAGGACTGAATGTTTGCTGAAACCAGCTCGCTCAGTCAAAGTGTCCTAGGAATAATAGTCAAAAGCGGCAGTGTAGTCTAAAAAGGAGGCTTGAACAAACTTCGCACCTTTATCAAGACTTGAAACAATATTGGTGTGCTTCTACTGCATTTATTTCCTTCCTGGCAAACGGGTACTGTATCCCTGTGAAACGATGTATTAAAGATTTGAGTAAGAGGACAATGCAGACTTTTGAAGCAAAATGCTTGGTACATGATAAAAATATTAGGCATAGACATTTTGAAAAACAATTTGGATCAATAGAATCAAACATAATGAGGTAGAGTATAAGTAGAATGTGGATATTAGTAGAAGTACATGGGAAAATGGCCATTATAACATAGCTGTTAGATAATGTAATAATAATGATAAATTGTGGAACTAAGATGTTGCCAGGAGAGATAACCATTATGCCTTATGGATGAAAGCCATGGGAAAGTGAGGAATTGAACAAACTCTTTCTGAACACAAAGATTAGGCTGAAAATTGTTTAAGACCACTGCCTCAGCTACGTCTAGCAATTGAAGGCGTACAAACATAGAGAATTGAGACAGCACTTTGTATAGAATTGTAAAGGCTGAATTTTAATAAGTCTTGTACTCCTTGCCCACAAAGTGTGACACTATGGAACTCCTGAGTGACTTCATGATTACTTTACCTAATCACGCTGGACACACATACTTGAAAACAGTATAATCTCCTTCCCTAGATGACAGTGTATTCATCATATCTTCATAATTCGGTAGATTCCTAAGTGTAGGCATCCCACACACAGCATTTAAAGAAACTAACCAGTCATCTTTGAGCGTATTTGTAACTCAGGTAGATGATTTACATATGGTTATATTCTCAGAGCCGCATTTCTCCTCGATATGAATTAACCAACGGGAAATATAAATTTACTTAAATAAAGTAGTATTACTTTGCAGGGATATTACTGGTTTCATTTTCGACCATGAACTAAGAAGGAGTAATAGACAAAAATATGTTTCGTCTCTGAATGGGATTCTTCTCAGTACACACCTGAGACCACCTACTGGGTATCGACTCCAGGACTATTGGATTGTGTCTGAATGTACTAATTCGCCTTGTAGCCTGAATGTTTTGGGTTTGATCGCTATAGGGATTGGCTACGGGTGAGTACTGATAAAGAGTCCCAATCTACGACGAAACATCTCGCTGTCCAGTATTCCTTCGTTCTCCACGGCTCCCTGACCGTAGTCAATTCATGATCAGAATTGGGTGTAAGCTAACAGGTCAAACTAGCTAACCAAATCCTCATGGCTGCTTGTAACTGTCATCAAACACTTGTCAGCTCTACTTGAAAACACTGTTTGGACGAGTATTGTAGGGTTTAAATCAAAAATTAAGCCATTCAAGTTCTGTTAGGCATTTTGATTTTTTTGGAGTGACTGATACGTAAACAGTTTTCAGTTTTTTCAAGGTATAAATGTTTCCTATTATCAATATTTAGGAATATTTTTCAGTATTGCTTTTGTAGGGATTTTGCTTGATTCGTTGGAGGATTTCATCATGAGCTGACATCAGTTAGAGAACCATTGGAAAACCCATCAGGGAGTACTGGACAGCTAGCTGCTTCGTCTTAGTTTGGAGCTTTTCAACAGTACGAACCCACTGGTGTTCGAACCCAAGACCTTCTGGTTACAAGGCGAGAATATGAATTACTTCTCATTTTACTCAACGATTAAGGATATTACGAGGGAATATTTCCAGAACTCAAGCCTCTGGAAAATTGGCTGGTATATACCTGAAACACATCATCTATCCTTTGCGTTTGGAAAGGTACATAGGGCTTGAAGCATTGATTCATAGAGGTGGTGTTGTGCTTCTTCACATGGTGGAGATTACTAGCCTCACGCCTAATCTTCCCTCCTATTTCCTGGCTCACTACCAGCTCGTAAACAGGAGGAGGTTTTTCAGTGCGTCAGCAAAGCATCAAATCTGAACCTATTGACACCTGGCTGGTGGACAGTGTACTAATGAATCATTCAATATACTATTGAACATATCACTTTTGTTGTTTTAATAATTCACTTTTACCTGCCTTTAAATTGAATCTGCTTTTTTTTCTTCTCATAAAATTAATTAGCTATTATCGTGGTGCTGTCGGTGCACTATTAGTTTATGATATCTCAAAACCGCACACCTTTTTAAACTTGGATAGATGGTTAGAAGAATTGAGAGAATATGCTTCAGAGGATATTGTCATCATACTAGTCGGCAATAAATGTGATTTAAAACACTTACGATGTATACTTACTGAAGATGCACAACGTTTTGCTGAACAACAAGGTATGTTATTTATTGAGACCTCGGCGTTGGATTCTGTCAATGTTGAAGAGGCATTTTATCAAACACTTAAAAGTGAGTGAAATAAAATCTCATGTTTACTTTTGTTTGGAGTATTTTTAACTTTTGTTTTAATAAAACCAACATGTTCTGTTTGACTGGAAACTTATCTGAATATATATATATATATGTACCCTTCGCTACTACGGGGTGCCGCCGATAATTATACATCTCATCCAATAGCTGTACGACAATGCTGCATGCCAAGTAATCCACAACGGGAAACTTACAGAATCCTTCGAAGTGAAGACGGGAGTAAGACAAGCTGGCTGCCGACTATCGCCAATGATTTTCCTAACTGCAGTAGATTGGATAATGCAACAGACACCCGGCAGCGAAGAAACAGACATAAAATGGACTCACACAAAAAACTTGGAGGATATAGACTTCGCCGATTACATATGTCTGATTTCCCACAAACTGGAAGATATGCAAGTGAAAAGGAACAAGTTGGCAGAAGAAGTATCAAAGATAGGACTTCAGGAGAACATAGAGAAAACAGAGATGATGAAGATTCCTGGGCATCACCACCAACAGCAACAACAACAACAAACAACAATCAGCATAAATGGGAGGAACCTGAAATAAACAACCTCCTTTACCTACCTGGGAAGCATCGTCTCAACTACAGGTGACGGAACTGACGAGGATATCAAAGAAAGGATCGGGAAAGCAAGATAAGCTTTCATTACTCTCAAGTCTGTGTAGAGGTCAACAGCACTCAGCATCAAAAATAAGATCCGGATTTTGAATTCCAATCTGAAGTCAGTGCTATTAGCTATACAGATCAGAGACTTGCACTGCGGGTCATAAAGAGCATCTCAAACAAACTACAGACCTTCATTAACAGTTGTCTTTGCTCAATACTCAAGTTCAGATGGCCAGAAAAGATCAGCAATAGGGACCTGTGGGAAAAAAACAACCAGGAACCGATTGTGCAACAAATAGGCAGGAAGAAATGGAGATGGATTGGCCATAATCTGAGGAAACAAACCATCAAGTGACATCACTAGACAAGCCATTGCTCGAGTGGAACCCGAAAGGAAAGCGGCGAGTTGGTCGTTCAAGGCTGACTTGGAGAAGGTCATGTGAAGAGGAGATGAAATCATGTGGGCATACTTGAAGCCATGTGAAAACTCTAGCAGAGAACTGAACGCAATGGAGACGTGCAGCTGAATGCCTGTGTTCCTCTAAGAACTAAAGGAAACAACAATAATAATATATATATTTAAATAATAAGGAATATTTGTAGCTAAGCTGGATGATTTGCAATTACTTGTGTTCTCTGAGCTGGTTGAGTTAATTGCGAAGTTTTCGCAGTCTTTCTGGAAGTTTTAGCCTAAGATGAACTGATTTAAATTCTTCATGAATGATAGAATTGTTTCTCGTGGCAGTAACCATCTTCGTGACTGGTAGTCGATTTACATCTGTATTGATCATTTTTATTGACTTGGAATTTAAACTTTCTTGTCATGTGATTTACTTTTTATTAGTTGGTAAATTTGGTCTATATTAACATGTTTGTTAATCACATATTCACTTCAGTACCAGGCTTCTAGGAATTCCCCGGTACTTTTGGTGTTTCCTCTGTTTAAAATTCCGATATTATCCCAATCAAACTGATGTCCATAATTACCTACATGCATTGATGTGAAAGGGTATATATCATGTTTTTATACACCTAATTTGTGTTCTTGGATTCTGATTCGAAGGGGACGCTCACTTTAACTGATTTAATGTCTGTCACAATTCATACGTGCAATTTATTTTGTAGATGGCATTAATTTTATCTTCTTATTCTGCTGGATCTTTCGGTTTGCAAAATACCGAATGAGGTGATTGTGCTGACTGGCTGGCTTGTGGGCTGTTTCGATTTCAAACAGTTCTAATATTCTGGCTGTTATTTCAGAGATATTTTATATGAATATGGTAGGATGAATTTTCTTGTGGTCTTCGCTGTTGGCTTGTTGTTGGTGTTGTGACTCAATTTTAAACACTTTTTGACGAAATTGTAAGGATATCCATTCTTTTTGAAAACTGTTAAAAGGCATCGGTTCCGGTGACTCCCTCGCCATTTGTCTGTTAGCACATGTTGTATCATGTCTCACCCTTATGCTAGAAATCCTGTCGATGGCTAGTACCTGACCCATAAATAGCATTCTTTCGGCCTCTTTGGCAGAGTTCAGTGTAACCCTTAATACGGGTGGTTTACCCCCCGTACAGCTTGCATAATTTCGCTGAACTAATGTTCAGACCTAATTTATTGCACAAATTGGACCACTGTTCCTGATCAAACAGGGCCCGTTGTTCAAGCAAGCTATCCTTGCTCACAGGTACATTAAAAAGGATAAGAGAATTAGACCGACTGACCTCAGACTTGGGTTTGGCCTTTGGCTGCTTGTATTCCTTTGCAGGGTCAATAACTTTAGGCTTCATCAGGTTTTAACCAGCCTTTGCTGTGTTGCCAAGCTCGCTAGTGGATGCAAGTGTTGCTTTGGCAATTCTATCTTGCCCTGATGTTTTAAAGTGCAACCTTGGGACTCTTCACTTTGTGAAGACTGGCATCTCCAGTTAGTTGGACTGGAGTATCCTTCTTGCTGTCTGTACCAAGTTTTGCCATTGTGGTGTTAGCAGGTGGGGAGCTGCATGAGACTGTGTTGAGACACAAGAGTGGCGTGTTGTTTCTGATATCCGCAGACACGCTGTGTGGGACTGCGCCAGGGCGACAAAGTGGGCAGGTGTACCAGAACCATGGGCATGGGTTATTTCGCATAAACTCACAGTATGATTTCGGCACCCCTTTGTCACAACAGCAGTGTACCCATCGTTTGCAAAAATTGCATTCAAATGCTGAGTCAGTTTTAGAAAAGATGACACTACATGCCTGACATTCGTCTCCCTTCCTTGATGACGCTTTCGAAGTCCTTTTTGTTTTGCTGTGTTTCACTCACTGGCTTTCAGTTGATGCAGGTGTAGTATCCTGTCCACCTGGTACTGCCTTTGCCGTTTCAGTGATAGACTGTGGCAATGCAGGCGTAATATCAGAACAGGCGAGACCTACACAAGTCTTGAGGATCTGTATGCGGGAAGGGGTTAATGTTCCTGGGTTATTGCCTCCTCCGGCTGAAGCCGTTGTGACTACAGAATATGGTGTTTTAGTGCTTTTTCTAAGGCTACTTTCAACAGCCATATTAACAATCACTATAACTTATGCTATGTAAGAATAAGAGAGAGCAACAGTATCTACCAACGAGAAGAAGAATAAGACTGATAAAATACAAGATAAGGAAAAGAAGAGGTTTTCGATTTTCCCTAGTACTTTCTCGATGATCGGCTTCACAGGAATCACGTGGTGGACTCATAAGTCTTGTTTATCTGAACGAGTGAGGAAGATGCTGGCTACAGAAGTGGCACCTAAAGCTTTGGCAGTAATTCGAAACAGCTGGACTTATCACACAAAGATTCAGCATGTAAGGAATGGTTGAATTTAATTCACCGACTAGGAAGATCAGGTTTCTCAAGCAGATAATTCATAAAATAGGTATTTCCCGGTTGGAGAGGAGAAAGCACGTCGTATTCAAGGAGCGTGCACACACATGAGACGAAGAGATTAGTCGTTGAGTCAAGAAGACAAAGAAAGACTCATAAGTGAATCTTTCTGAACATATAATTCAGGTTTTGCTTAGGCAAATTTGGGAAGAGTTGAGTTATACTATCTATTAATAATCTCGAAGAATTTCACAGTCTCTACCTCATAACCCAAATGAATAAGATGTCTCACAATAACACTGTTCAAAACATTTTTTCTCTTGAGACGTAAACTTTTTGGTGCATATTCAGAGAATCTGAGATATGTCCTTCTTTCTGTCCTCCCAGTGTAACTGCTTCTTGCCAGATATGTGAACTATAAATTCACAAATATTGTACTACTTTATATCTTTTAAGTGTAAGCTTTTACACTGTATGCATGTATTTTCTCCGTTTATTACGAATAATATCGTATATGCATGATTCGTCCTGTAATCTAGTGAGGAAGAATTCAGTCAAATCCACCTCACTGGTATAAAACTCTTGGGTTCCTTAATCGTTAGTCAATATGGAAAGGGCAAGCAACAGGTAATTCTAGCAGGCACCCAGCCTGCCAACAGCATATCGCCAAACAAATATATGTAGACAGTAAGATGCATATGCGTTGAACATACGCTGCGTAAATTGTTGAATAAAAATCACACTCCAGATTGTTAAGCGAAACCCAAATGAAAAACTACAAGTTAAGCTTTCGCAGGTGACATGGAGGAGATCATATGGAGAGGAACTGAAAGTCTGTGGATAGTTCCACAGGCAGACAGAACAGTTCTGAAGCTGTCTGTTCCACTCAAAAAGCAAGGGATGAATAATATGAATGATGTGTGTAGAAAATTGGAGGGTTACACTGACGAATGGCTGGCATCCCTGCCGAACACGAGTATCAAAACATGACATTGCTTGCACCATTTGTCCTTACCTTTTAGATACTTTTTAAAGAGAATTTTGGTGAAACTGTATGACCTGAGTTCACCGCAAGCTAGTAACAGGCTTGTATTGTCATCTTCAGAACCATTCTGGATAATATTCTGAAATGTGTTTCGTAGATTTGCACTTTGTGCAGTCGTCAGAACTAACTCCATAGAAACAGGTGGATTTATAAAAACATGCTGAAGTGGCTCAAAGTGGCAACTCCTCCATCACATAACCACTGATCATTTATCAAATAAAAAAACTGACTTATAACTCATCTGAAAAGAATGCTTAATCTCAGTCAACTGGGATAGGCAGTTCTTCAGAATCTCAGTCGTGGTGTCACCTTTAAATTCAACATTTATAAACAGCAACTTCTTCGGCACAGTCTGGATTCTTCTTTCAGATTTCTGCATTACTCTCCTGTTTTCCTAGATGAATTTTGTAGGAAATCCATTCTGAATAATGTGACTTGTGTTAGTCTTTCTAGTTTATCACTGATCACTTCACTGGTACAATACTGTACAATCGGAAATGTGGTACTAAAGCCCCATGTTCCACTTGGAGTTCCAGAAGCCGATAACAGTAACAGACATATGGAGTTACGACGCCAAGCCCATTGACTATTCAGTCACACTGGACCTGGTAGCCCCCAGTAGTCATGACTTCTCACAATTATTTCAGATAACTTCTTCCTGCGGTTAGCCACCAGTGATTGCCAGAATAATTTTTGACATTAAATTCCATCTCTAGTGGAGATGTTAATTACTGGTAGTGTTGTGGATTAGCTACACTTTATCAGCCCTTACTTAACGCAATTCACCTATGTACCCATTTACTGCATAGTGCACATTTCAATGAAAAAGACTTTGTTTTAACTTGTACCTACATGTCCTGGCGCCAACGCCATTTTGTGAAAATACAAGTTAAAACAAAGTCTTTAACAATGGAATTTACACTACAGGGTCATGGGTGTGTAATACTCAAGAGTTCCACTAACTAGGACGAAATAATTGTCCAGTACTCCCTGGTTATCAATGATTCGCTAACTATTAATAATCCATGATAGAACCTAAAGGAGGTATCTAGAGGCATGTTTTTCATCGTTCAGTTTTCAATGTTTGTTATCTTTAATCTTTCTGAGATGAAATTTTATGGTGCTTTTAGGAGCAAATGAATAACATTACCCTTATAAATGACAAGACATTAAAATATTCAGATTTTTTCTTCTCAATTTTTCATTATTAATATTATCGCAATATAAAAAAGACACCAAATTCGATTGAAGTAATAGTGTCAACATTATTATCGATTAGTTTTCAAAATTTCTTTAATTTCATCATGCATTTTATGCATGCCATTAAGACAGAGGTATTTGGATATTAACGCAAATGGAGTTTTGAATGAAACTCTCTGTTAAATAATGCTGTTTGATGTCTGTTAGTAGTAGGTTCTTCAAGTTTGAGCAGCCTGGGAGGTAGAGGGTTTAGTGAGGCTAAATAACAAGTAATTGAAATGTCTAACTGATGTTGCTTGTTTTTAGTGAACAGATTATTTCAAAGGTTCAATGATATGTATATATGTTAATAAGTAGGTCAGGTATGTAGCACAGAAATAGACGAATGAACCACACTTCGTGCAAAAATTTTCATAGGCGAGTATATAACAGCAGTCATCAAAACAAATTCGCTTGTCTTTCGCTTACAGGGATCGAACTTAAGACTTTCAGAGTACAAGGCAAGCACCAGTACAGTTGAGTCACCTGTGACTAAATCCAACAGCTAGTCCATGAATTCACACTTTCGCCAATTCGTCACATATAGCACGACCGCCAGCCATTGTCATCGGCTCCATACACTCTTACACTTGATGGATGCCGCTAGTTACAAATTCCCATTAAAATTTCAGCCACCTTCATGCTGAAGTCACTTACTGGTGGTCATTCAGTATATCGGGGACTGATGGAAGTTATATTTGAAGATGTGTTGGATTCCATCCCAGTGGCTCAGTGGTGTACGAGCTCGCCTTGTAACCTGATGGTCGCAAGTTTGATATCCATGGTTAACGCCAATATAAAGTAAATCGTGATGGCGACTCAACTAGATTGATGACCCTGATGCTGAAAAAATTCCGTGAGAATCTGCACTACTGAAGACTAGACACACGACACTGGTTACTCGATATATATGTCACATCACTCACTTGATAAATTCTAATCATCCCTTCTAACTACCCTATTTGATCATATTTCCTTACAGCTATTTACAATGTGGTCAGTAGTCATCCATCCTTTAATGAACAAGAGGCGAGTATTTCACCAACCAATAATCTTCCCATTGAAAAACCAACTGTAAAGGAACCAGAAAAAAGGAAATTCTGTTGTATGTAAATAGAATGAGAAACAATATCTTCCTATTTTTAAAAATTCAAAAAACAACAATGTACTTTTCCAAGTTTTCAAAACCTTCTGTGATATATATAAACACACAGTGTTCAATGTCCAATTATTATCAATCGACAGATTACATGAATCAGCCAGTTAATGATAAGACACAAAGATTATTTACATTCTCACTGTGAATATATTCCTTTATGCATTATTTTAGTAAGATTATTTACAGTGGAATATAGAAAAACAACCATTACTACAACAAAAACAACAGTTGAGATTATATTTCTTACAATGAACAATTTATTTATTAGCTGTCATAATTATTTATCATTACTGAAACTTTTGTATTCCTCGTGTGTGTGTGTGTGTGTTTGTACGTGTGTGTCTGCGAATATTTCTTTATACGTGGACTCAGATACCCGCTTGTTTTGGTCGTGACAATACCACAGCAGAGTACAATGCATATCATTTTTTTTAAATGTATACATCGCAACATACATATATATATACTTTGTACACAAACGTAGTAAACTAATTTATATTTCCTTTTTATACTCATTATTTTCTTTACAAAAATCCTATAGTAATCAATAATACTATGTTGTTGTTTGCATGTTTGCTACCTTTTGTCTTGTGGTTTCAATAAGTATTGTCAAACTGGATAGAGTCTACTTGTTTTCGTGGCGGCTAGCACTGAAGTGTTCCCCCAGGGTGAACTTGCTCCACTGTAAGTGACTGTGTGTGCGTGATGGTGTTCCCACTGTGACCTTGACTAAGTATTTATCACTTCAAAAGTCAATGAGTTATCGACCAAGCCCCCTCCTATTTAACGGGTATGATAGGATATGTGCATCGGTGGTATAGCGGTTAGGACGCTCGCCAACCATGCACATGTTCTGGGGTTTTATCCCCGGCCGACGCACTCCTTTACTTCGCTGAGCCAGAAATAATGCTGGTAAAGAGGAAAGATTGGGCATGAGGCTAGCAATCCCATCCTGTAAAATAAACACTGCTACAGAAAATTCAAGCCACTAGCTTGAATCCCTATGTTCCACCGGGGAACGTGAAGGGATAAAATAAATAAATAAAATAATGCAATGAAATTATTTTTCATGTTTGGGATTTTCTCTCATTGGTACATTCGACTGCACTGATCAGCATAAGTTACGTATACTGTACGTGAGTGATACTAGTGTGACAACAGAAGACAAGGGCCAGGCAACAGGTCATTTATTTAGGAAATCAACAGATATCTATAGATTTTCATGTGTACTATTATAGATTATTGTAAGCAAACAAACACAGTCTCCTCATTGGTGGTTTCTTGTTCAAGGTTAATCTTTCATCTCTTTGCGGTAGTTTATTGAAGTTCAGATTATCTATCTGCAAATTGTATCCGCCTACGCAAAAGTCTACCATGATTGGTTGTTGAGTTAGTCTTTGTTCTTATTTTTCTCACGACCGATATTTGGGAACGTAAACATTGACGTAAATTACTGTCTACCAGCTTGGCTAGCAGCCAGCTCTCACCACACTAAGATCAAAAATTTTAAGTTACTTATTTGGTAGTGCCAAGGTTGCTCAGATTGAAGAATAAGTGAGAAGCAGTAGAAAACTCGTCATGAATTCAAAGGCTATAGGAGAAATAAGTGAGAACGGATAACTTCTAGCAGTCTTAGATGGTCTAGTGATATGGGGACTGCAGGCAAAGGGCATGCACAAGTTTAACCGGATAGATAAGCCAAATATCAGATGGACTTCATACCAGTCTCAGGAAAGTGGAGATGTAGCCTACTGGAAACAAGATCGAGAAGAGAATCGAATGCATGTTGTGGTCATTATCAGTGCACGGAACCTTCGTGCTAAAGTTTCAGACCCTTACAGGAGCTAGAAATAGACCACAGTTCAAGTTCAACTCTCAGAAAATTAAGGTCGAGGCTACAAAATGTACCTTCGCTTTGACCACTGAGAAAACTTCTGAAACACTGACGGACATTACTGAGAAAACATAGGTGAAAGAAAATCGGGAATCTTTTGAAGCGATTGGGGACAAAAAAGAGTCAAGATGAAGAAAGTAACTCTACTCCTGCCTAGAAATCGAGGGGAGGATTGTGACGTAGACGGCGAACTAGTGGAAGATCAAGAAGAGATTAGATATGACCTACAGTGCAATGAACCGAGAAATAAAGAATGCCTGAGAAGGACAAATGATGCTTTTGTGATACTTTATTGAATGAACGAAAAAATTAGCTGCAAGTTGGGAGTAACTCAGAACAGTGTGTTAATTACCAAGGTTGGTGTGGAATTAGATCAATTCAGATGAAGTCGGTGAAAGATAGTACAGAAAATCCAATTACCAAAGAGGTTAAAGAAAAGAAACACTTAGCTGATCAACTTGAGGGATTGTTGGATAAACCACCACCCACAGCTCTTCCAGATGTACTATGATCTCCAACAGAAAATCAACTAATACTGAACACCAACCCTGCAGTAAAAGTAGAAGACTTTAGTGTCATAAAGTTACTGGAAACCGCCAAAGTATCAGAGCCACACGGAATTCCCACCAAAAGCTCTGAAAACAAATACAGAGACTGTGGTGAACGTGCTCACACCACTATTACTGAAGGTTTGCAGGGAAAAGGACATAACGAAGCTAAACAGTAGTGGTCACGGAGTGTGCATACAAAGATGCCAGTGAGAAAAAGCCGCTTATTTTACATAACGAAGCCGCTTTTTAGGAGAAAAATACATCTAATTGCAATGAAACACAGTCTAGACGTTATTGTACCCTGATGTACCTTAGAAATTGTTCCCAATCACAAAGAAGAGTATTCGTTTTCACGTTTCATTTCTATTGAAACGGTTTCATCTGTCTGAACAACGACACTCTCTTCTCGTTAATTAATTTACAAGGAAAACGCAAACAATAATAAAATGCCTTATTCATTAATCGTAATCCTGACCACAAATCTAGCCCCAATACTAATCCTAACCCAAACACTCCATCATCACGTAGTCTAAACAGCACTTAGAAATGACAGCAGGATGAAAACTGCACCTCGCTTAGTGCACAGAGTTCACACTGGCACCGTCACAATGGCGGATGTTGTAATATAACCAGTGGTACGCGCACCCATACAGGAGTCAGACAAGGGTGCTTATTATCACCAATGATATTACTAATTCTGGTGGACTGGATTATGCGTCAGACAGTGGGAAACGAGAAGACAGGGATATCCTGGACCGACGTGAAGAACCTATAAGACCTGGATTTCGCAGATGATTTATGTTTGATGGCACACAAAATCGAAGACTTACAAGCGAAAACCGACAAACTCGTCGAAGAAGCAGCAAAGACAGGACTGCAGGTGAACATAGAAAAGACGGAGATTATGAAAATAACCAACCAACAACAACAGCATCAGCAACATCCAGCGCCAATCACCATCAACGTGAGGGATTTGAAAGAGATCACTTCATTCACTTATCTAGAGAGCATTGTCTCAACTACAGGAGGAACGGACGAGGATGTCAAATCGAGAATCGGGAAGGCGAGAAACATATTCATCGACTTGAAAACAATCTGGAAATCTTCGTCACTCAGCATCAACAACAAAATACGGATTTTCAATACAAACGTCAAGTCAGTCAGTTCTTCTATACGGATCAGAAACTTGGCGAGTCACAGAGAATATTTCCAACAGCCTGTTGCAGACCTTTATCAACAACTGTCTTCGCTCTATACTGAAGATCAGATGGCCGCTGGAAAGAATCACCAACAAGAAACTATGGGAACAAACAAAACAAGAACTAGTCGCCCAACAAATACGCAGGAGAAAGTGTAGATTGATTGGACACTCGCTGAGGAGGCCGTTGGGTGACATCGCGCGTCAGGCCAATGCTCAAGTGGAATCCAAAAGGGAAGCGGAGAGTGGGACGTCCAAGGGTGACATGGAGGAGATCGTGTGATGAGGAACTGAAACAGTATGGATTAACATGGATGCAAGTGAAAAGTACAGCACAATACAGAAGCAAGTGGAGGCGTGCAGTTGAAGCCCAATGTTCCACTAGGAACCCAAGGGAACAATAATAACAATAATACGCGTACCCATTCTTTAGGTTGACTGGACATATACTTACCTACTAGAAGAAAGCTGTTTTGTCATAATGGCGAAGAGAGATGCCTTAAGTTTATGCATAAACTGGCATGACATCATGCTCCTGCTCACACTGGGCAGAATACTAAACTGTATCATCACTGAGAGATTCACTGAGTGGAATAGGCTCTGCTATGTGTAATATTTCCACCCTTAAACACTAAAGTTGTCTTTCATATACCATATTACATTTTGAGCTAATTGGACCTTTTGTTCTGAATTGGATTGTTGCACATTTCCTGTTTGAATTGACATTTTATTAATGGCGGACTAATTTTGAGTTCGACCATTGCGTTCTATGTGTGTGGGCGCCTGATAACCTCCTATTTGAAAGTTTGTACTACGTTTATCCAATAGAACCTGTTTAACAGAACAATAGTCTTGCAGCTCTTCAAGATCCGTCAATCAATATAATTCTATTTTGAACCACTCGGCTTTATTTCGGTTTGGTCGAGGACTGCAAGTCTGCGCCCTCAAAAATTATTCGTGCGTCACCTGTAACAGACTCCATTCAAACAAAGTAAGCCAGGTGTGGATCAGATCTCGAAGTCGCTTATCAATACGATTGGACTGAGCCAAAATTGGTATTCAACTCTTCATTTATAACTTCATCAGCTTTGAAAAATTCTTCAACGGAGTCCGCTGTGAAGTAATTTATCAGCCGCTTTAACAATATTGGCTCTAATTCTGTAAACATTTATAAAACCCCTTCAGCTTCTATGCATTTATGCTACATGCAAAGCATTTCACTATAGCAGCCTATCTGGGTCTTCAAAGTGAAGATGGTGGAAGAACAAGTCTGTCTGCTATCACTGACGAAATCCCTGAGTGTAATAGACC